GTTCCGTTCCGTTCGTACGTCGTTCGGTTCGTTTACGTTACGTTACGTCGTACGTACGTAAGTTTAACGTTACTACGTACGTACGTCGTACGTACCGACTCGTCTCTCTCTCTCTCTCTCTCTCTCTCTCTCTCTCTCTCTCTCTCTCTCTCTCCATTTGCTTTTTGCACCTTGGATGTCTTTAGATTTTGCTTTGGATGAATTGAGTGCCCGTTTATGACCTCTTCTTTGGGCTTTGATGGGTACCAGGGATGTAATTGAGCAATCATCATTTGAATGTGGGATCCTGGACTCAACTCGCCGGCCGAGTATCATGTACACACTAAATATCATGTTTATATTTAGGGAAAGGTTTCTATGCTTCCCCTACAGCATAGAAGTTCGATCCTCCTCCTACCATCCAGCCGTCCAATTTTGATCAAGAGAGCCACTCACCGTTTAATCTTAGATCCGACGTTTGAAAGTATTTTATTTTTAGTTTTTTTTATACAAATTGTATGAATATGAAATTTGGTACGTGTCATCTTCTCATTTGGGCGCACCTATAAAAAATATTAAAAATAATTTTTTGATAAAATATAATGCCTTTCAGGGGTATTTTGATCATATTTTATTGAAAATATTTTTTTATATTTTTCGCTTGTACGAGTTTAATAGAGGAATGGACGTCCAAAATTTGGTGTCAAAATAGTTTATAGAAAAAAAATTAAAAATAAAATAGTGTAGAGACGTGACATTGTGATTGGGGCAATCTTAGCCCTCCACTCAAAATGGACGGTTGGATAAGGGGGAGGATAAAACTTCTATGCTACAGGGAAAGTATAGAAAGCTTGCCCTTATATTTTTTTTAGGCAAGAATTGCTAAGTGGCATATTGGTTATTATTCTCATTAGGGGCCCATTTAGGTAGGGTTTCGATCCCCCACAACAACCACTTTCTCTTTTTTAAGAGTTAAAAAACATGAGATGAAAAAGAGGGCATAGGAGAACACTTGACCTCTTACAAAGGCTCATATAAAGAGCCACGTGTATAAAGAGCGAGTTCAAATTATATTTATATAATCGGTTTTTTTTTGTCATTTTATTTTTTAAATTGTACAAGACTCGTCTGAGTTAATCGGACTCGGCCTATTAACTCGCCTCTATCAAAGTCTGAGCACTTTGGCCGAATCACATTTTGAAACACTAGAAATATATGTAGCTTTCAGGTATTAGATTATTCCGGCCGCAAATAGGCTGAAATTTAACCCAGTCTTTTGGTTGGTGAGTTTGGGAATCGAGGTTCGGACTAGGGTTGCAATCTCCCATGCCAATCCCGAATGCACAGCAATTGTGAAAAGCTCAAATCAATTAAAGTGGGTCAGTGCCCCAATTCCAAATGTAGGCAATTGAACAAAGCATGCAAATCAAATATGGTGGGACTGATGTTGCAAAATCGAAAGTACACTTGGTGACAAAATTTTGAGAGAGAGTATTTCATGTGGTACATGATTTTGATTGTACACTGATAAGGGTGGATCTACCGGGTAAACCAGCTGGTTACTGGATCGATCTGGATCAATGATTTTCTAAATTTTTGAACAAACTCGTTTGGTTCTTTGATAGAAGTGAACAAATCCCTCTAAATCAAACCAATTTATTAAAATCAGGGCAGTCTCACGCTGATTAGCGAGTTTTAAATCGTTGGTTAAAACTGGAGGGAGAATATTTCATATTATTTTTTATTATGACTGTACATTGGGAAAGGAGTGAACTCTCAATGGGAGGGCCACCCACAAGCAGATACTGGGCCGTTTGGACAATAGGCGAGGCTATTTTACAGAGGGTGTGGTTTGTATACAGGGAAAGGTTTATATGCTTGTATATAGGGAAAGGTTTATATGCTTTTCTTACGGCTTAGAAGTTCTATCCTCCTTTTATCATCCAGCCGTCCAATTTTGATCAAGAGAGCCACTCACCATTTGATCTTAGATCTGACGTTTCTAAGTATTTTACTTTTAGTTTTTTTTTTTTATACAAATTGTATGAATATAAAATTTGGTACATGTCATCTTCTCATTGGGGCACACCTATAAAAAAACAAAATACCCCCTTGAAGCTTTCAGAGGTATTTTGGTCATTTTATTTTATTAAAAATATTTTTTTTATACTTTTTGCTAGTGCGAGTTTAATAGAGGAATGGACGTCCAAAATTTGGCATCAAAATAGTTTATAGAAAAAAATTAAAAATAAAATAGTGTAGAGACGTGACATTGTGATTGGGGCAATCTTAGCCTTCCATTCAGAATGGAGGGTTGGATAAGGGGGAGGATAGAACTTCTATGCTGCTGGGGAAGCATAGAAAGTTTGCCTTTATATATAATCACTTAGATGATTTTTCAATGTTGGTACAACCTTTTTTTAATAGGTTTTATGTTAGGGTGCAGTTTGTATAGGGCCGTCCTTCGAATAGTATCGAGAAATATAGTTTCAATATTGAAAATCTTTGTGATAGCCTTAAAATATATTTCTATCTTTAATTATAAAATTTAAAGCTTTAAAAATAATATAGATTGAGCAAATCTATGAAAATAACCTCTAGTTATTTCGTGACTCTTTGAAGATATTTGAGCGTCAAAACAACCTCTTTTAATAAAATTTTTGATGTGGACTCTAATTTGATTATTTAGAACCTTGGCTCTATATAAACTTATTCCGACATGTAAAGATCCAAGTTGCATGCTTTGTATAAAGTTTTCCTTTAATAGACCAAACGTGCTCTCTTCAAGAGTAGATTGCACATTTGCTCCCTCAACCGTATTCACGGTTCCTTGAATCGGATGATGGATCCAGGTGCAATTCAAAATAAGAGGCCAGGGCAGTCGCTCTCCAGAATGAGTCAATAAATAAGGTGCATGTCCGTACACTTGCTTCGGTTGCCATCTTTTCACGAGTCAAGAAAAGTAACTTGGAATACATTTATTGGAAAGAGATTGTTTGTATTCGTGAAGAGTTGGATGCCAGACATGAGAATAAAAGAAGTGTGTATGAAATTATGGAAGGGTAAAGATAGGGGAAGAGGGGTCCGATAGCTTTGAGTAGCTTACCGATTCATAGTTTATATCAGCGTTTTAAAACTCGGATCGGTGGGTTGGATCATTTACTATGCATATTTGTATTGGATCATTGGATCGGCCATATAAAATTGGTCCAAATTAATGATCCAAACAATATTAATCAATAAATAAAATAAAACAAAAATTAAAATAAAGATTTATGAGGTGGGAATTTAGGGGTCTAAAAAAAAATGTTGCTTAAAAAATATATAATATAAAAGGGGTTCTAAAAAGGAACCAGACCTATACCACCCCAAAGTTCTGACAGATTCACCATCTAGATGGGTGATCCGAATAAAAGAGTTTTGAAACATGGTTTACGTATTATCATCTCAATGGGCTGAACATGAAAAAATATTAAAACCAATGTCGTGATAAAATATAATGACCAAAATGCCTCTTGAAACTTCAGAGGTATTTTGGTTATTTTTGTTGTGCGTGGAAGCTCTAAATCCAACGGGTTGATTTTTGACAAATAAAGTATGAGAAATAAAACATGAAATACACACCACAAGAACACACAGATTTACGTGGTTCACCCGATAGGGCTATATCGGGTATACCAATCAAAGTTACATCAAAGATTTTAGAACAAACCTCGACAAATATCCCAAGTCGAGAAAACTTATGACAATATCGACAATACCAGATAGAGACGCGTGAGAGCAACAATAAACTGATTTTCTCTGTCACTAAAAGGAAAACCATCCAAAATCTCAAGGGGGAACCGCTTCTCTATGAGAAACAAACAAGCCTATCAATCTTCGGGAGTTTAAAAGATGAATCATCATAATGTTTCTGTTCAAATGAAGCTTTCTTTTCTCTAAGAAGAAATTGCATCTTATGGTATGGGGCTATAGCTCCTTCTCTCTCCAAAGGAACCACCATTTTCATATGGTAACCTAAATAGGACACACATCTTCTCTCTAAAAATATCCCATTATATAGAAAAAAAAGACTCACCAAAAAGGCTCACGTAATGGCCCTTTCCATTCATTATTTTATGCGAAATTAATCTTTATCTCATTAAATATGGGTTATCAAGTTCATCCTAATCCAAATAGAACTTATCCCAATAGCCAACTCCTAAATAATATCGAATTGGTTAATAGCAATCCCACCTAATAACAAAATATCTTAATCCCACATAATATGGGTACATCTCAATCCCACAAAATATGGGATTTACTTACGTTGGTGATTATGGATAGCATCAAATCTAACAATCTCTACCTTGATATCAAAATTAATTGCCAATATCCCTTGGATAGCTTTACAAATTATTTAACTTTTGCCAAATACATTTTTTCATCATTCTTGCTGAAAAAATAGTGTTTGCCATCAAATTTATCCACTTCGAAGTTTGCATTCGAAACCTTTATCGCCATATCGAAAAGTAAACCGAGCTCTGATACTACTTGTTGTGCTTTGATACCATTTGTTGTGCACAGAAGCTCTAAACCCGACTAGTTGATTTTTGGCAAATAAAGTATGAGAAATAAATTATGAAATACAAACCACAATAATACACAGATTTATGTTGGTTTCCAATATGGCTACATCCACTATACCAATCAAAGTTACATCAAAGATTTTAGAACAAACCTCGACAAAAATCCCAAGTCGAGAAAACCCTTTTAAACAACTCCCCATTTCTTCTATATACTTCTGGCAATATCGACAACACCAGATAGAGACACGAGAGCAACGAGAAACTGACTTTCTTTCTCTCTTACTAAAATGAAAACCACTCAAAATCTCAATGGGAACCGCTTCTCTATAAGAAACAAACAAGCCTCTCAATCTTCGAGAGTCTAAAAAAAAAATCACCTCAATGTTTCCGTCTAAATGAAGTTTTATTCTTTCTAAGAGGAAATTATATCATATGTAGTCGAGACTCTAAGTTCCTCTCTCACTCCAGAGGAAACACCACTCCAATATGGTGACCCAAATATGGCACACATTCTCTTTCAAAAAATATCCTATTATGTAGAAAAAAGATATTTACCAAAAAAGCTCACGATGGCCATTCTATTCCTTTTTTTTATGGGAAACTAATATTTATCTCTTTAAATATGGGCCATCAAGTTCATCCTGATCCAAATAGAACTTATCCCAATAACCAACTCCTAACTTATCCTAATAACCAACTCTTAAAGAATATCTAATTGGTTAATAACAAACCCACATAATAGGGAAATATCTCAATCCCACAAAATATAAGATTTTTCTTATATCGGTGATTTTAGATAGTATCAAATCCAATAATTTTATTTTATTGAGAATATTTTTTTATTGGTACGACTTTAAGAGAGGAGTTGACATTCGAAATTTGTGTTAAAAAAGTTTGTAAAAAAATATTAAAAATTAAATAGTGAAGACACTTAACATTGTGATTGTGGTCATCTCTACTACCCATTTAACATATAAACGGTTTTACATTTTAATGAAAAGCAGTTGTATGGTGTTTAAATTACCGGACAGCTTTAAATTTATTTGTCCGGAGTTCAAAATACGAAACATTATATTTTTACTTTACAACGTTAAGACCGATGCCCGGAGTTCGAAATATCGGACATGTCTTTGGCTCCTTTGAACCAATAAGAGTCCCATTTCACTACTCACCGGATAGAACTGCTAATTTCTTCTTCTCTCTTGCTTTCTGTTTACCAAGCTGGAGCCCAAGCCCAAGCCCAAGCCCAAGCATGTACTTTTATCGCCGAAGCCCAAGCTTCTCAAGCCGCAATCAAAACAGGTATGTCTCAGAGATTTTTTTTGGGGGGGGGAATTAGATATTGGGATTAGGGTTTTAGGGATAAAATAGCTCAAAAATGTGTGAAATTTATGATTAGAGTTTTTGGTTCACTTAAGAATGTTCATATTTGTATTTGACTGTGATTGAAAATGAGATTTTGGTGATTAGGGTTTTGAGAACACCCAATCTCTCTTCTTTTTTTTTGGTTATTTTACGATGTATCTTTGTGTATCTATCTTGAATTTGAATCTATCTTGGGTTTGTATTATCTTGAGTTTGAAACTATTTTTTTATTTTTTCGAATCTATATTGAGTTTGAATGTTCTTCTTTTCTTTCTTTTCTTTTTTTTGTTTTTTTTTTTTTTTTGAGCTTGTTTATTTAGATTTCCATGTATGATGATTATAGTATACTCTTCATTCTTTTTTTTCTTTTTTTTTTTGAGCTTGTTTATTTAGATTTCCATGTATGATGATTATAGTATACTCTTCATTTCTTTTTTTTCTTTTTTTTTTTGAGCTTGTTCATTTTCCATGTGGTATCTCTGAGCACCACAACTTGTGGGTCGACATCTTTTCTGTTTCTTTTTTAGCATTTACATGTTTTTCTCTTTCATTAGAAGTTAACCTTTTAATAAAAAAAAAAAAGAAGTATATTTCCCCTTTTGCAAATTTTCTAAGAACAGAACTATGATTTGTCAGCGTGATATCTAACTTAAATTCTAGTAAATGATAATGTTATATCATATTTGCACAAAAAAATAAAAAAGGCAAAGAAACTCATGTATACATCATGTGGTTGTTCCTTTATGAGTGTGTTTAAAAGCCTCATGTTTGTTATGAGTGTGTCCAACTCTCTGTATCGTGTGTGTGTATATATGTGTGTGTGTTTAAGTGGTGAGTGGTTACTGGTTAATATCCACCTTCTTAATATAATTTTTTTCTATGATATCCACAACTTCTTATTCATTTTATCTCTACAAAATTCCTTTGTTTTTTTTTTGGTTTGCATGCCATATGCTTTTCATTGAGGCCTTATTGACCATACCGAGTATATATATTGACTACCATTTTACATACCTTCTTTTCTTTCTCCTTAAATCCTTCAAGATGTTGCATGGATTTCGTCATCCGAATTTCCATGCAGAAAGGTTCTTTTTATATCTAAATGATCTAAATGAAAGTCATGCAAAGCAATTGTAGTAATAACAAATCGAATAGAACTATTCTTTTCCATTAGTTAGATCTTATTGAAATCGGTGCCTTCTTTTAGGTCATATCCCTTCACTATGAATCGTGTTTTATAATTTTCTTCGCCTTCATCATTGCTCCTCAAAATAACTATATATTAAAAAAATCATATATTGAATAATTGAGTTTTATGATTGGTTATTTGTATAGGATTATACTTCGAATTTTTTGTTTCTTTTTAGATATTGTGATGGTTTTGGGTTAAGGTGAAATTGGTGCACATAGGTGTGTATGTTATTTACTTTAGTATGCACTTGGTTCTCACCTCTCTTTGTGTGTGACATTAGTTCAGGTAAATTCATTTTGTTTTGCTAATTATTTTTTATTTATATATCTCAAACTCATTGATTTATAGGTTTCATGCATTTTTTTTAGATACATGTATCTGTAATTATTGTGTGTATGTTGTCCAGTCATGGTTATTTGAGCATTTCAAAACATTGCGGTATGAGGGAAGTAGTTGACGGGTTGAAGCTAGTATACCAAGGGCTGCAAGATGGGTACACCAAGGAAAAGAGGATAACCAAGTTACTAATTTCGCATACTATCAGCAAGAATTAGATCTCCTTGAATCTGAAAGGGTATAATTGCAATGCTTATTAGTTAATATACTCTTACGCTTGATAGTTATTCATAATTAATCATGTATATTTGTTTATATGTGTGTTGTTATCCATTCCTACTGGTATTATGAAACCGATATGCAAAAGAGAAAGACCATGGCGATGAGGATGTCCATCAAAGGGTTCTAGATCAAGAGGCATTTGAGACCTCTCTTTGTAGAGCATATGTGGTATTTGACAACATAGCAAAGTGTTACCTCCCAAAGCCGATACTGAGACAATTTGGACTAAGACAGCCCATCCCAGCAGATCCCGGTAAACATGACAGATTCGAGAGGTGGGGCAAAAATGAAGAAAAGTGGGAGCAGAAACTCGCCTCTTAAAACAGAGACTTGCACGACCTGCTTCAGAATCGTCAAACAGGTGAGTAAGACCCGAGTCAGGGTCTACCTTCAAATGAGTATGAAGCGTGGTACGTGCAGGTTTCTATGCCTAGAATTCATAACCCACAGGACCCTAGGATGGATGCCTATGCACCTCGATGCTGTGGTGATGACATGATAAGTTTGTACTTAGGTTAAATTTATATTTTATAAATTCATATTTCTTTGTTTGTGATAGTATCTGGATTGTAATTGTGGTGTTTCAGTTATCCAAAGTAGGCCATTTGATTGGAATTGTTGACAGTGGGCCGGCGCGGCTCAAGACCTCAATATCAATATTTTAGGGAGATCAAGCTAGAGTTGATATTGTCTAAAGACGGGTTCGTTGAGGAAGAACCAGAGTCCAATGATGATTATGAACAAGAGCCTACATTAATTGTTGAGCCACAAATGCAGAGCAACCGCAAAAGAACTAACGATCCGCACGGCCTCAAGACCCCATGACTGATGAGAGAGTGGGTCCCAATACCCCAACCTCTGGGAAGAGGATAAAAGTACTTGCCCAGAAGAGGACATTGATTTTATATTGTAAAATTTCGATGTAATTTGGAGTACTTTTGATAAGATCAATGAAAATTTGAAAACTCTTTTGGGTTATAATTTTGTTGTAAACTTGGCTTTGAATGGAAATATATATTTTTTTGCGATCTATACTTTTGATGTAACTCTTTGCAGGTTAGTGAATGACGTACTTTGAAAAAATTGAACTTGAGGAAGAAGGTTTTGGATGTTAATTTTGTTTGTAGGTTATTTGGATGTTAATTTTGTTGTGAGTGAATAATCGATGTTAACGGTTTTAAAAAATTATCTATGAGTGAATAATCTTTGAGTTAGAACAGGGTTTTAAAAAATTTGAAACTAGAACAAATTGAAATTTAAAAACGTTCAGAAAGTTGTCCGGTATTTGGAACACCGGACAACATTTTGAAATAAAATTGCCTTGTGGCCGTCCGGTATTTGGAATATCGAATAGCTTTTTGAAAAGAAGATAGCATTTTTGCTATCCGATTTTGAAACACTAGACGGTTTTATAGTATTTCGAACATCGGCCAACAAACTCAAGACTTGAAAACACAAAGAGCTGCCCGGTTACTTGAACACGAGAGTTGTTTTTTGTTAAAACGTAAGAACCCTAATTGTCTGGTGTTCAAAGAGCTGCCCAGTTATTCGAACACCATATAAATGTTTTTTTGTTGAAACATAAAAACTCTAGTTGTCCGATGTTCATTTTACCGGATAAAAAGATAAACTTAAACAAAAAAAAAAAAAAAAAAAAAAAAAAAAAAAAAAAAAAAAAAAAAGAAAGCTTCGGGGGACATGATAAAAAAAAAAAAAACAAGCTTCGAAAGACGTGATACCGCTAACAAACGTAGTACCATTGATAATTGACCCCAATAGTTTGTGTACGTAAATTTCTCTTATTTTTATAGAGCACGAGAAGTACACAAAAGATTGCCTAAATATAATATAGGAGCTCCCCTCCATTCCTTTAGGTTAGAAGTATAATATAGTCCTCAAGGGGGCTATAAGACTTCCCCCTAATTGTAGGCTGTAAGAATTCCCCTCTATTTCTCTCTCTAGCTACTTCAGTGCTACTCTCTAGAGTGAATTATTACGTCTACATGAATTTACCCTCTCTCTCTCTATCGCCATGACGATCGCAAGTGTGAACAGTAAGTAACCTATCTGATTCTCGTACCTCAAACCAGAGTTAATAATTTCTTCCTTCAAAGCGACCTCAAAATTCATAATCATTCTTTCTTAAATTTCCTCGAATCATTTCAAATCAAAAGATCGATCCAATAAAACCAGCGATTCGCTTAATCATGTGTTTCCTAAATCTCCAGCAAGCTCAAAGTTTCAGTTTCTCTCTCTAAAAATCCACATTTTCTCTCTCTCCCTCTCTCTAAAAATGTCCACGTCTCTCTAAAAATCCACATTTTCTCTCTCTGTCTGTAAAAATGTCCATGTCTCTCTCTAAAAAATCCACATTTTCTCTCTCTCTAAACTCAAAATCGCGCGTCCAGTCTCTCTCCTGACATGGCAGTCTGACACGTCATGCTCTTCAAGCAACCCACTGAACCCAGACGGTCCACCAATGGGAACTGTACAAGCGCCCCTTATCAATACAAAAGATTTATTAATTCATTTATTATTGCCCTTTTCGGTCCTCATCCGATACAGAGAGAGAGAGAGAGTGCCCATCCTGCTTATTGGGAGGCGTTGAACCAGAACATGTTCTCGACACAATCTGGAGGCCATGTCTTAAATTTCAGTGAGTTTCGTCCACTTCGAACCCATCACTTTTTAATATTTCGTCATCTTCTGGCATTGATATTAGTGTTATTATAAATTTTGAAAACGTTACAATAATGGCTGCTCTTAAGCCAAGGCACATTAATAGGGAGAGTGGAATTTGGAGACTAAGCCCAAATTAGGTACCACACCACCTTCCGTTCCTACTCACACATTCGAAAACTAAGTTTATTTGAACAATCAAATTAGAGCCAACCTCAAAATTTTATTAGACGAGGTTGTTTTGATATCAAATAATTTTAAATTGATTATCTCGACCTCAAAATGTATAGACACGAGAGAAAAATAGATTTTAAGTTTTGAAAATAATGCAATTTATAAAGTACTTTTTAAATTTTTAAGTTTTCATATATTTGCTCGATCTATATTATTTTTAAAGCTTTAAATTTTAGAATTAAATACGAAAATATATTTTAAGGTTATCATAAAGATTTTTAGTTTTAAAATCACATTTCTCGATACTATTTAAATACGTGCCTTACTTTGATTGTTCGCACCAAAAAAAAAAAAAAACCCAAATCAAGTAAGAAGCAATGGCCCTAAACCCTAACATAACTCTTAAATTTAATTTGTTTTTGGGGTTCTTTAAAAGATTTAACATGTTGTCAAAAAGATATTCTACTGCAGGAGTATACTGTACATTTGCTCCTTTAGCTAAAACCTCATCTAGAATTAGTTTTAGGACTCCAAAGGATGCAATCTCTTCAACCATAGATTAAATTTAATAAATTAAATAATAATAAAAACCTAATTGTACTCTATGTACACTTGAAAAAAATATTATCTCGAGATTGAGTAAAGACAATCTAATTTTTAGATTGCAAGAGGTAAGCGTCAAAAAAAAAAAAAACATCTTTATGCTCTTTATTTTTAAATTTCATTTCTTAATAAACACAAGATTTTCAGAAATGTCTTCTAACCATTGGTCATTTTAAACTTATTTTTTAACTTAAACAAATATGTGAAAGCCATGCTCTTACTAAACCCAATCTTTTCTCTCTTTTTACTTTTATACCCAAACTTTTATCTTTCTCTGTTTTTCTCTCAAATCATATTTTTCCAAACACTTTTTTCTCTTATCTTGATGACTTCTCTCTTTCATGAAACCTTCTCTCTATAAATTTGGGATGACTTTTAAAAAAAGTATGTTCTTTTAGATTTGTTTAGCTTAAAAAGACATGTTTAAATTAATTCAAGGGTCATAAAAAATAAAAATCTATAATTTTTACTTTTCAAGATACCTTTTAAAATTTTGAATATATTGTAAAATAGAACTTGAAAATGAAAAGATTGAGAACAACTCAAATTTCAAATATTTTTGTAAAATGGAACTTAAAAATAAAAAGCTCAAGAACAACTCAAATTTCAAATATTTTATGAGATGGGGACAAGAATACGTTGGGTGGGATCCACACGAGGCCTATCCATTCCAATCCAATGTACTTGGTGTCATGGTGGTCCTTTTCATGAAAAGATTGAAAACGAGAGGGAGAAATTAGCATTTATTTGGTGGTCCTTTTCATGAAAGCATCGAGAGAGAAAGTATGAAGGTTTAAGGGGAACGAGGGTACAAGAAAGCATCATTTAGGACCATTATAGCAAATATTCATACGTTTTCATGAAGAATATAAGTAAATTACATTTAAATCTTTGATTATTGCATAATATCTCTCTCCTCCTTCCCTTCTCTCTCTAGGCCACTTGATAAGTTGTCACTTCACTCAATCCACTATATAAGCCTGCGTACCTCATCAGTCCCTCTGCGAAGAGAAAGTCAGAGTGAGAGAAAGGGAGATTTTGCTTGGGGTTGGTGTCTGCAGAAAGGAAGCAGTTTGACTAGCACAGAGAGCAACAATGGCTTCTCTGAAAACAGTATTCTCTCTCCTCTTCCTCATTTCCTTCTCTCTAAACGACTCTCTCACTTCTGCAACAAAGACCCCAGCCTCTGTAGTGAGAGAAACTCCTCTGCTCCTCACCTACCACAACGGCCCCCTCCTCTCTGGTCAGATCACCCTCAACCTCCTCTGGTATGGCAACTTCACCTCCTCCCAAAGAGCCATCATCCTCGACTACCTCCACTCTCTATCTCATCCGATAAACCCAATTCCCTCTCACCAAAACTCGTCTCTGTCGCCACCTTCAGTCTCCCAGTGGTGGCGAACCATCGGAAAATACGTAGTCCCGAACTCGCAAAACACCCAAAAACCAGCGGTTCTTAGAGTGGGGAAGCAGGCCATTCACTCGTCCTACTCTCTGGGCAGGTTCCTAACCCGAGCCAACCTCTCGAGCCTAGTTCGCACCCTGGCTCGACCCGGGTCTATAACCCTGGTCCTCACGGCTCACGATGTGAACCCTGAGGGCTTCTGTCTAGGCACCTGCGGCCACCACTCGTGGGTCCGCCTTCCCTCACTCGAGCGAGCCCCATATATATGGGTCGGCGACTCGTCGAGCCAGTGCCCCGGCCTTTGCGCGTGGCCTTTCCACAAGCCCGCTTACGGTCCGCAGGGTCCGAGCCTCGTCGCCCCCAATGGTGACGTGGGCTCGGATGGGCTCGTGATGAATATAGCGAAGCTCTTGGGTGGGACCGTGACGAACCCATTGGGGGGTGGGTTTTATGAGGGGGAGGAGGAGTTGTGTATGGAGGAGGTGGGGTTGTGCATGGAGGCGGGGTCGGCATGTGTGGGTGTGTATGGAAAGGGTGCGTATCCAGGTTATACGGGGGAGGTTTTGGTGGATGAGCTGAGCGGCGGCAGCTATAATGCGGTGGGGATGAGGGGGAGGAAGTATTTGTTGCCGGCTTTGTGGGATCCACAAACTCACAAGTGCGAGACGCTTGTCTGAGGTGGAATCAATCTTCTATTTTCTCTCTCTAAAACCTTTACTAGACTTATTTTAACGGATACACGACTCTCTCTCTCTCTCTCTCTCTCTCTCTTCTTTGCTTTCCTCTCCTCTCCTCTGTGCATTATTATGTAAACTTATTTCAATACTAATTAATAGAAAAATTTATAGAAGGCATTGCTTTTTACAGAAACGGCAATGCACACCCCGAGAGCAGAGCCAATCGGAAAAGGTTGTTTCAATATTGGATTTGCGTCAAGATTGGAAAAATTCCCCTTTTAATTTTTACAACCTCAAGATGTCGGGATATATAAAAATAATAAAAAATTCAAGTCCTAAAAACAGTGTCATATAAACTTTTCAAGATTTTTAAATCTTTATTTTCTATCTAATTGGAGCTTTAGATTTACTCAGGAGTAGAAATAATTTTTTTGCTATCATAGATATTTGGAGCTTCAGATTTAATTAGGAGTGGAAATAATTTTTTTGCTATCATAGGGTTTCTAGTGTCGAAATTGCACTTGCCAACTAGGTTTGGAAGTGCTGCTGCTTTGATTGTTAAATCGTTGAGACGTTCTGTGAACTGCATCCCAAATTAATTGGACAAATCACCTTACAGAAAAGCATTACGGTAGTCAATTTGTCCAATTTAATACTAGAGGTATTGTTTTCTTAAAAGAAAAAATTTATATAGGCAATCGTTCTTATACTATAAAAGTGAGATGCATCTCAAAAATATAATAGAAAAGATTGATGATTTAAAGTTGAAAAATCCTCTAATTATTCATCTTGAATTTGAGATGTATGGATATGGGTAAAAATGAGCTTCAAATTGGGAAAATAGTGCATCATGTAATGCACTATCTGGTCCACCCATTTTTAAGATTTATGTGCCTGATTTTTTCTATTTTGGAGATTTAAAATTTATAATTTGGGTGAAAACAGAGATGTCCAGGGTTTTCGGCACCAGATGGGCATCTTTCAATGCAATTTGACGGTGCACTTTACTTTGACTATTTAAGGTTGGGACTTCAATACGTGAGAGGTGGCTATGTAAGTCATGGGACAGTATATATAAACAAATTTTTTTTTTAGCAACCATACCAAAGAGCCTACTTACAAGGGCCACTTAAAATAAAAAATTAATCAAAATTAACCTTCTAAAATCGAAGAATCCTACCTTGATCTCATACAGCATACTTCAAAATAAAAAATACAATGAATAAATGAATCGAGAATAATGGAAGCATTTTGCTGGTAGAAGATGCCTCGGATCACCTCTAAAGCACATGACACAACTCATTCTAGATCATCTAGCTCGATAGCGCACTGATCATGATCCGTTTGAATCTGCTTAACTTTTTTTTTTCTGCTTAATTTGAGAAGCTTTAATTCCATTAGATGTGATTCGAGAGGCTGACAATTGAATATATTTGTGATTATTCAATTTTTTTTTTATGAATAATTGGGAGAGACTTAGATAATCAAATGAGTTTGAAATTAAAAAATAGCACTCTTATTTATTATGCTTTAGAGCCAGTTTGGATGTCAAAGACATAAATATTCACACAGAAAAAATGCAGCAAGTTTATTCACTTCAATTGAAAAACATTTTCATCTCATTTTATTATGTTGGCTGACTAATTTTATTGTTTTGTCAAAAAAAACCCTCTACCCAATCTTGAGTCCGTAAAAGTATTGATATTTGGGACTAGAATGTTAATCCATCTGCCTGTTTGGCATTGTATATGACTCTCACCTCTTTTCTGATCGCTTGAAAAAAATTTCCGGTCACCTCAACAAGAAAAGAGAAGGGAAGAGCTGGAAAGAGAGTATAGAGTGGATGAGTTGGGGCTCAAGTGGCGAGCATTGATGAGCATTGAGAATAATGTATGTGTTTGAATAGAAACAGGGCTTAAATTTTCAAAGACATATTGATAGCCATCGATGACTTTCCATATGTCAAGATTATATACAATATTCAAGAAATTTGGAATTGCTTTGTCTCCATTGACTTGACCCCATCTTGTATTCCAAAACCAGCAAGATTGATCCTTAATAGCTCTCAAGATTCATGAGTAAATCAAGCATAGATTGTTTTGAAAGAAAAACCTATGGGATTGTTTATCGGGGAATTTTTTTTTATTTTTATTTTTTTTCACTCTTTTCTTTTGGCAAAAGATTATTTACAAGTGGTTTTTATTATAATAAGATAAATTTTAAAATAAAATCAACATAACAATAAAACCAATATCTTAACAACTTGATGCCATTGTAACAACTATGCACTATATTTCAGAATAAAAGATAGGACTACAAGAAACAAAAAGAAGAGTTTTGGATATTATTTCAACCGGGTTTATTATACCTCACATCGAGTCATTACCATTCGATGGCGGAGGATCAATGGTCTAGTTTCAATTTCGAACCAGAAAAGCAAATTTCGGCCAAGTCAAATCACACCAATGAAATTTGAACCCCTTTGATCACAAACTCAAATCGTATATGAATTCACTTAGCAACCTAGTTTGAGAGAGATGGATTCTCTTTTTGTTAAACCTTAAAACCCCTAGCCATAAATCCATATTTGAGAGATAGGAGAGAATAACTTCATAACCTAAACCTTTAAGTTCTTTTACAATGTGGGACAGAGAGATCAAATACGAGGGAGATAAACTTTCTTAAGAGAGAGAGATAGAAAGATCAAACCTTTAATTA